ATGACTGGCTTATGTTTTTTTTGGAAACTTAATGGGACCTCAGCTGTTTAAAAGTCTCCAGCTCAAGAAGGTGCTTGGGACTTTGTTCTTCCATTTTCTGTGGCTCATTACTGCTTGAGTAATGTCTGCTTGCTCACCCAACTGGCTCCAGCTTTCAGGAGTAAGGGCCAAAGCTTTTCAATCCAGAGTGCTATCTAGGGTGGTCAGAGATCCTCATGGCCCAATGGAGACACCATGCACCATTATTACAAATCCCGTGTATGTTCAAACTGTTTTGCATGGCAGAGTGACAACACTGACTGGTGTAGGCTGGGCTGCGTAGGATTGCCCTTGCGTGATATCAGTCTGCATTTTGTGAAGCTAAGCATCAGTGTCAGCCCTTGGCCGTGACTCTCTTGGATGAGGGAAGACCAAAGAGGAGCCAAATCACTTGCTGGGACAGGCTGAGCTCTCTTTCCTTTCCTTTCCAACCCCAGCTCAGCCCCCTCACCCTGCCTCTTTAGCCCTCACATCTTGACCTCCTGCGTTAAAATCATAAGAAGAATGAGGAGAGAAGGGCTGTGTACACACAGAAAATGGTTCGAGAGGAGGCAAAGCATCGAATAGCATCGTACAGCTTACAGTTAACCTCACTTCTATTATCTCACATGGTTTTCTTTATAGATACGGAAACAGTACCAGAGATCTGAACTGATTTACCTGTAGAACCACAGTATTAATACCTATCAGAACTGAAACTTGATTCCAGATCTTCTGGCCCCAGACCGATTGTTCTTTATACAAAAGGCTAAGACATCAGCCAGTACTCATACTATTAAAATATTAGAAGTGTTTTTTCCTTTTAAATATACCATGGTTACATTGCTAGACTTGTAATTATGGACTTTTCAAAGAAGAGTGCTGAATAAACACTGAGGACTATCATTATTACTATTATTATTACCACTAAAATCATTGGTTACATAGGAAATTTATTCAATTCAATAAGTGCCTGGTATCTTTGGTAAATAAAATATTGTCCACACCTTCAGAAAGTGGAGAAAGCAATTATGCAGACATAGAGATGAAATGTCAGTGATGGATTTTGTAATGGATATATCCCTAAGATAAAGAAATAGTATAACAGTCATTCTTGAACTTGAGCATATATCTGAATCACCTAGATGGCTTGTAAAAAGATTGCTGGCTCCACCCTCAGACTTTCTGGGTGGGGCTCAGGGATGCGAGTTCCTAACCAAGCTCCTAGATGGTGTTGATGCTGCAGGTCAGACACCGTACTTTGAAGGCTTGAACTCCTTCCATCTGGGAACATCAGACAAGACATTGTAGAAGTGATACAGATGCAAAGATTGAAGGATTAAAAAAGTTTGCCTTGTTAAATGGGTGGAATGGCATTCCAGATAGATGGAATAGTGTACATAAAGGTATGGACAGGTAACAGTCGATAGGGGATCCACAAGAAATTTGGTATTAGCACAATCAAAAGAGAACTGGAAAATGGCAAGAGATGAGTCTGAGCTCATGGAGGGTTTCACGTGCTGCACTAAATCCCATGGTCTTTGTCCTATAGGCTGTACAGAGCCACTGGAGGACTCAAAAGAGCAAAGCATCTTAGTCAAATCTCTTCATTTTGGAAAGCTGATTAACTCTAGTACAAACATGGAAGCGTAGAAGAGATTCTTACTCATGACCTAAATATGAAAGAATGCCTTTGAGCATCTATAATATTATGTCCAGCAATCAACCAAATGTGGATACATCTTGGTATTTTAGTCAAAGAGTTAATGATTCACTGTGTGCCATGCATATATACAAATCAAAGAAATCATCCTTTCCTACAGGCACTTAAGGGAGCCCACACTTACACAGGAAACAACAGAACTTGAGGCAAGGCAGGTTGGTCAGCGCTAAACCCACCAGCCAGGGTTTCAGGGAGAAGGCAGAACACAGCTGGCCTAGCAGAACCGTGCCATTTGCCCGGCCCGGGGAAGGCACTGCAGCCAAGGAGGACCCAGAGCCAAGGAACAGAAGGGAAACTAAACTCTGAATGCACAGGAACAGCACAGAAACAGAGGCAGCTGGTCAGCCTTTGTCAGGGGCTTCTCTTGAGACATGGTGGAGGAGTGGAAAGGAAGCTTGGATCAAAAGGCTGTTTCTACAGGGAATAATCTCTGGAAGATTTTTAGAGAAAGAATAGAGCAACATAGAGATAGGAAATACAATGCTTCTCAGCCATCTGCAAACCTGCTCTCCTCTTTTATCATTCAGTAATCTCCCTATTATTCCCCTAGCTGGAGTCAAGGGAACAGAATATAAAAGGTTGGGGACAAGAGATGGGGAAGATGTATTGGCCTTTGGTTCTGATTGGGCCAAAAAGCTGGTAGTTGCTGCCCAGGGAGCTGGCCGTTGTCCTGAGAATGAGGTGGTTTGGCGATCTGACAGCTCCTTATAAAAGGCCATCTGTCCCATGCACCGGGACGAAGTCCGGGGAAGCCTTCCCTTCGCAGATGGTAGCACGATGCAGTCTTGCAAGGGAGACTTCCTGGGTCATTTACCTATTCCTGAATTTGTGAATATCAAAATGTTTTTGCAAGTTGCTGTTTGAGTTGTGTTTCTTCTGCAGCAATTCACGTCACAACTATCGTTACACCATTCCCTTAAACTTTATATTCTATCTAGAGAACAGTGTTTGGACTTACTGAAACAAACCCACAGATTGATTTATTCTTGGGTCTTTATAAAGAATGCTGGATTTATTCGCAGTATATAGACTGGAGTCATTGCTGAATTTGACATTCCGTAGAACCTTACAATTATCCAAACTTTGATTTTCTGGCCAACATATCATCCTTTTTTTAGACTGCTGTACTTTTGATTTCCATTAGCAGGAGAAGCCACATGGCTTTTTCTACAGGTCATTATTCCCAAAGAATTAAGATGTATGCCTTCACAAAAGTGACCAGGGATGGAGACAAAGCTGCCATGTGGGATGTAGGGTGAGGCAGTGGGTGGGGCTCAGAGAGGCTAGTCCCTGCCCAGGGCTCTGTTCCTATACCAACCAGGCAGCCTGTGCTGTTCAAATTTAAACCCTCACATTAAAAGCCACTGCACATTGTGGACCTTTGAGGTCACATAGGATTAGTTGAAAGTAAAACTAATACATCAGAGATTCCAACATGCCTGACTTGAGGGTGGGAGGTGGCAGTTAAGATGCATGTGGCTAGAAATGCAGATACATTTAATCAAATGAGCGACTTTATTGAACTTATCATTAACTATATTTAAGCACTATCAATCCTAAGTTTTCTGTTTCTAAACTTATACCTTGGAATAAAAACAAAATGAAACAAAAAAAACACAAAAAAATAAAGGAAAGAGGATGAGACTTCACCAAAGGGTGCTTTCGTGGGGCACACGGCAGCCAGAACAAAAGGCCCAATTTTAATTGGATTATAAACTGTGTAATTATTTAACCTCTACCAGCTGGTTTCAAGAAGCTACCAGATTCCTTAGAGAGCTTGTACTTGGCCAGAAATATAAGGTCCCTTATTAGTAACAAGAAAAATGCCTTCTGTACCTGTACTACTCCCAACCTCCAAAGAACACAATGTGAAAGGAAAATATCCTTGAATTTCATGTTTAGTTGAAGAGGCAGTCTTCCCTCCTCCTAAGTATGCAAGTATATTTACTAAAGCACCTGCAGTCTCTGAGGAATGCCCAACTTAAACAGGATTATGTTATTGCATCAGACAGGTAAGAGTAATTCCTCTAATTAGTCATTTGAGATTTCATTTTTCACTCAGAATTACTGGAAATTTAATTTGTTTGTGACATGCAATTGGCAGCCTGACAATAGCTACAACTGCACCCCCCTAGTCTCGCTGTCATGATCTGTGTGAAAGCACTGGGGGGTCTTCGTGATACTTTGCTTCATCTATCAACATCAAGCTCACTAAAGTACCTTCTTATTGACAAATGTGTGCTAGTTACACATTCCTCACTGGTAATGCTAGAATAATCCAAATGATTTTTCCATGATCATTTTTCTTTCAGACTGAATGTTTTCCCCTCTATTTCCCCAAATTTTGCAACAGTGAAATAATTCATAATATATTCTCATTTACATAGGTCATTGTACCTGAATGTACAGGTCACAATATTTTTAGGAAGCTGTATTGTATGTATTAAAGTATCATTGAAGACAGTCCTTTGATTAAAGAAAGAGTGCATGCTATTTATTTTAAGACACCCTCCTCCAAAGAAAGATTGATTGACATCAAACATAGTCCCCATAAATTATAGCTATTGATTTTGCATTTGTTTTAGCTCATCTGATGTTATGTCGCTCATGTTGTCATTTGTTATCCTGACTGCCAGCCCCTGAACCTGCAAGGCGGTCTTGCCATTCAGATGAATCTATACATGGCCATGCTGCTCTCACCTTTTCTAGCATTACCCTGAGATTTCCCATGGAGATTACAGATGCCACACAGCAAAACTGTGGCAAGTGGCAACATTAGGGATATTTGTGTATCCAACTAACATCGGCACAGATACGGCTCCTGGCTGCCTTCTGTGCTTCAGGAAGCTGGGTGCTCCGTCCCTTGGCTTTTCCACATAAATTTGCTCTTAGGATTCAGAATGCAAATATTCCGGCCATCTTGACATTCTCAAGGTCAGAAAAGTCATCTGTCTTCTACAAACAACAGAAGTGATGGGAGATAGAATGTCTGCTGGCTACACCCCACTTGTGTTTTAAAGAAGGGTTCTCCAGCCTGTTTTTAAGCTGCATCTGCTTGGATGCTTATAGGTAGAGCTTGGGATGTTGCCAGATCACCAAGAGGCCCACTTAGGGTAAAATTAGGTCAACTTTCTGGATGTACATGTTGTACTCAAGGACCGCTTCTTGTGTTTTGATTTTTCTGGCCAATTTGAGTGAATACAATGCTCTTGTTCTAAATTGTTATTTTACACCCTTTCTCCTCCGGCTTCCCATCCAGTACTCAGTCACGTCTCTCAAGACCATCCCAGAACTATGCCGAAGATGTGATCCGCAAAGCGAAGACAGAGCAGGTAGGTTTGGCCCCTTGCCTCTCCTCCGTGTCCTGACTTTTACAGCGTGGAGGACTCTGGGAAGCTGCTTCTCTCCCATGGATCGTCCCTGCTCTCTGTGTTCTTTTTTTTTTCTGGCTTCTCCACTCACTGCCCCCATTCCACCCTCAACAAACAGATGTTAGGTCACCCTCCAAAGGCTAACAGGACCGGGAGGCCCTCGCGGGGACTCGGCTGTATACAAATAAATGCAGGCCATCATCTCGACAGCCCCAAACCAGGGTACACACAGCAGTTTGCTGAAAAGCCAAGAAACCATTGGTGACAAAACATAACGATGCAGGCGCCAATGAAAAAATGTTGGATGCATTCACTGCCCATATGGCCAGGACCAGCTTGGGGGATGGTGCTTTGCCAAAGTCTGAAACCCTATGAGGGATGCGACATGATAGAATCTGCAGTAAGGCATACTGTAACAGTTAAGATTAAAGCAAAGCTTTGGAGTTTAATAGTGTAAACGAAACAGAGAATTATGGCATATAGATGAAAACCAGCTGGGTGACCTTTTCTCCTTGCACACGCCCCCACCCCCCGACATTCAGGGTTGTTTTTCCCTCTGTAAATCAAATTACGCCTCTCTCCTTGTCCCTCTGTGATGGGCAAAAATGAAAATAAAAAAGGATATTGATGGGAATGATACCATGGCATTAAACTCTGCAGTGATGTTTTTCTATTTTTCCAAGCCCTTACTCCAAGGCATCACCATTAACCTTCCAAAGCTGGGCCTCCTCTGATAGTAACTGGAATCCTGAGAGTCATGGGTGATGGGAGGCTTAAGAAAATCCTCAAATGATGTGCATGATATTTAAAAACAAATAGATGATCCTTACCTATAGAGCTACTAGAATTCTAGGCTTTTCTAAGCAGAAAGTCTTGTGCAAAACTAATTTACTTTTCTCCTGGACTATTGGTTTACCTTTGACATGTTGCTTAGATGAGACAGGGAAAATAATTACTCTTCTAATAATTCTAAGTTTGTTTATCTGGTGTGTTTTTTTGTGTGAGTGTATCCACTGCTTCAGTATTTCAGCTGGAAACATAGGAGATAGTTTTAAGCTCAGATAAGTGTTTTCATTTGCCTTCAATTAAAAACATTTTTTTTTTGTTTTCAAACACACTCAAGTTTCCATCAGGCTGAATAGAGGCTTAAGGCTTTAAGGATATGTTTCCTTGAAAGGCGTTACTGGGCTCCAAGGTGAACCTCTGACTGTGATCAGTGACTCAGGCAGACCAGACTGGAGGGACCGTCAATCTCAGTGCCAGAAGACCTGTGTTCAAGTTAGCATTCAGGCATTTATCATCTCTACAGCCTTGAGCCTGTGACTAATTATCTACGCTGTAAATAAGAAACTTTTTCTATCAATGTTCCCAGGCTATTAGGATCAAAATTAGGTGATATATACGGGATTCCCTTTTTTCTTTAATTGGGGGTGAGGAGTAAGAACAGCAAAAAGCCACTTCAGTAACAGTACTAGCTAGACACAGTTGTGAGCCCTTTACTTACATGAACTCCATGTACTTACTCTAAAGTGCCTGGGAGCCAAGTGCTGTGAGGATATTTATATTATACAAATGAACAGACTGAGGGGCAGAGCAGAGAAGTTAAAGGTCTCACCCAGAGCCACACAGCAGTTGAGTCACAGAGCTGGGATTCAAACCACAGATGTCTGCCTCTAAGAATCTGTTCCCTTATCCATTACGTATACTATCTCTGAGCCAGCTGGACTTGGGGGAGTTAATTTAATTTTAGGGTATAATCCTTCTACACTTTTAAAAATCAGCATTTTTCCCTCATTGCTTAAGTGGTGAATTTCTTTTCTCTGTTAAATAGCTATTCTTGCTTACCACAGTAAGTGAATTAACCAAAGCTTTTTTAAACGTAATTTTCCTTGGGGCTGGTTCATCTCATTTTCTTCATGTCGTGTGACTTCTAGGCACTTCCATAATAGGTGATGTTAGACATTTCTTCTCTGGTTGAGAAGGAGGCTAGTTGCAAAGTTGGAAGCTTTTAAACTTTACCCAGAGCTAAGCCCCAGTGCTCAAGGTAATCAGCAGTAATTAGACTGGACAGGAAATTGATGTCTGAAGGCAAGACTCAGGCCTCTTAATGGAATCACACATACACCCTCAGTGTGATGCTCCATTTGGAGGCTAGTAAACCACATTCTAATAGAGTGAGAGTGATCCTAGAAAAAAAACACATGGAAAGATCCATCTCTCCATAGCATCACGTATCTGTCGGTTCCTTTGAAAGAAATCTCAACATAGTAGTTTTCACAGCCAGTTTCTAAAAGAATGTAGGCATTCTCAGTTAGTTCCATTTGCATCCAGAGGTAGAAATACCACGTCCTCACAACCCTCCAGTCTTTCTTGTGTCGGCCACCTATGCTCTGAGAGGGCTTACAAACCTCCGTCTTTATGGTGATCTTTTCAAACAGATGGCAGCTGGAGGCACATTGGCTTCTGAGAATAGTCCACGTCTTCTTTTAGATGGGGCACCCCCTGGGGAAACTTCCACCCAAGCTGCCTGTCACTTTGATTCCTATTGACATCTATATTTTCCCCAGACAGGAATAATATTTTAAAGTGTTATCCATCAATTATGCTACTATGACTGGGTTTCAAATTTTTATGAGAAGTTTTGAAAACAAGTGCGAAAGTGCTGGAGATATCACAAGAAGATGGGAGGGAAGTGAAGAACTAGGAGTTGAGAGGCTGAGAATAAATTTTGTCTGTGCTTGGAGCTGCATAGGTGCTATTGAGATTTCTGAGTTGTTTTCTTAGGTGCTCCATGTACCAGGCATTATGCCAGGTTCTCTGAAAACAGCACATTTGTCTTCAAAATAATTCTCTGAGGGAGGACCATTATTATACCCAATTTACTGATGAGGAAACTGAGGCTCATAGAGGATAAATAGTTTGCCCAGATTTCAAAGTGCCTTTGAAACAGGTCTGCAGTCTCCTGTGCTCCTCTGGTTGAGTCAACTAAGGACTGATTTTAATCCAAGGAACCATACATGACTAGTACTGGGGGGCAAAGAATAGCAGCAAGGTAATTATATATGAAAATGTTGCACCTGTAAAAGGAAGTTATTTGTGAAACGTTTGCACATATTCTCTGCTTAGTCCTTGCTGCTCACGTAGGGAAAGAGACCAGTGCAAGTCAGTGAGTATTAACTCCTCTGTTCTATGGCTTCTCTAAATGAGGACTAAAATATGTTAGGTTGACGTAAGGTATTCAAATTAAACATATTCAATTTCATTGACTTCAAGTTTTTTTCTAATTAATTGGACATTCAGATACACATTTGCTTCAATTCACAGTGCTTTAAATGTCTTATGATTCTTTCAAAATATGTATCTGCTAAGCTCACTGTATCATTCTCTTATGAAAGAAGGCAGATAAATATTAACACAACTTTGTATCTGAGAACTTAGAGGTGCTGAGGTTAGGAAACTCTGAAGTAACAGTGATAAATGGCCCTCAGTGTGTTTGAGAAGAGATTCTGCAAGATTTTAATACTTAGATAATGTGGAATATCATCTGTATGATAACGAGTAAAGAAAAAAAACATACTTTTAAAACTTGATACCTGGTAAAGTCATTTTGAATGTAGATTTGAAAGCATTGCAAATTTGCTATGTGTTTAGTCCCTCTGCAAATTTTGTGACAAACTCTTGAACCTTTGAAAATATGTGGTTTTCCAAGATATTCAGGGATTTCAGCCAGGACCAAAAATAGTAAATTGGCATGCAATTTATCCTTTTGACACTACTGTGACATAGATAATGATGCTAAATATAAAAACCTCCTATTTTAAAGTTTATGAAGGTTTAATGCTAAAAGCCTGGAAGCAAAGGTTAGTATGGTAGTTTAAATCAGCCTACTGGTAAACCAATCTCACGTGATGGAATATAAAACAGACTAAGGGAAACACATTTTCTAAGATTTCAGAGAAGAAAGTGAACACTCAGCTACAGCAAAGAAGTTAACATTTATGACAGAAACCTCAGTTTATCCAAGCGTGGTAAAAATTTACATACAGCAAAACATCTAGGTGAAAATCTCAGATAAAAATTATAAGCAAAGTTCTATTTCTTTAACAAAATTAAAAAGGTAATATAATACATTACAGAAAATGGGAAGAAAAAACTACAAGTAAGCCTGCCACCAAAAAAAAAAAAAACTACAATATTTCTTTCTAGTGTTTTCTTTTTTCCTGAGTTACATTTTTGTGTGGCTATAATCATATTGGAAGGACAATTCCATCTGCTGCTTTTTTCTGTTACTACAGAATGTGCGTGACCGTCCTTGTGAATGAAGCATTGAGCTTACCCATGGAAGTGGAGCTGTCTATCCCCTCTGTCCAGAGGGAGAGACCATCTCTACCTTCAGTCCACTAACACTTTGCTTATGTTTCTGAGAAAAAGGGTATATATCAGTGTGGGGAAAGATGGGAACAGAAGGCAATAGAAAAGAAAAAATAAAACTCTGGTAGTGTAGGAGATAACAGAAAGGGGCCAGAAGTAACAGAGCTTAACTACATTGCATCTTCGCCCCATCTCTTGAACATTTCTTCTTTTTGCTTAGCCACAGCTATAAGCACCACAGCTCTCTGGTTGCCTCAAATGTTAATAGCACTGTGGAACTAAGGAAGTCAGGAATGAGTATTAGAGGGAGAGAAAACTGATGAGAAGGGATTCACATTGTCCTCTTTTATGTTTTGATTTATTTTTATTGCCTCTAAGAAACAAATGTCCCACCCTCAAAACTGATAGAGAAATCTCTCTGTAGAAATGAGTTCAAGGAAGCCTTCTGTAAGGAAGGATGAGAGATCAGAAGTAGAGATATCAGCATCACTTAGGCAAGGAGGGAAAGAAATGGAACACAGGGACATGGAAAAACTGATACAGAAGCTAAATGCCTTTTAGCTTGTATGGTCTTGCAGTGTGTGACTGTT